CCTTTGGAGAGTCATTGCCATCAAATTTGTATTGAGAAGAAATATTTTTTCATAAATATGAAATGCCAAAGAAATTAAAATATTTGTAATGTACAGTGAACAAAACTCGGAACCTTCAAAGGAAAGTAAGTGGAGAGCTTTCCCTGATACCTTATCTCTCCCTCGAGGGGCTTTGCTAATTACAGTTTCGAAAAAGTCAATATTCTTCATGTTTGGATTGGTTTTCTTGAATATTTTCTACATTTCTGATAAACAAAAAAGTAGTTTCTGTATTTAATATTAAGTGGATTCCCCCTCCCATGCCTACTCTGCCATTCCTTGCAAAAACAAACAGTTTTGTAGAGGCTTTTTCATGTCTTTCCACAGCCTGCCTGCCTGCCTGCCTGTCCACACACACACACACACACACACACACACACACACACACACACACACACACACACACACACACACCACACACACACACACACACACACACACACACACACACACACACACACACACACACACACACACACACACACACACACACACACACACACACACACACACACACACACACACACACACACACACACACACACACACACACTTTCTCTCTCCGTTGCAGAGTTCCACAGTCATTATGCCATACTCCAGGGAGACTCGTTAAAAACATTCTGGAGATGCAAACTTTCATTCCATTTGCAAGTTATCAGAGCAGTTTGTCACAGCCAAAGTGTTGTGATGTAACTATGGTGTTCCCATGAGGGTTCCGTCAAAGTGCCCACTCCTTCCCATTCCCTCCATGCGCATCTCAATCTGCACTTACTGTACCTCCAACAGTGGCCTTGTAGCCTTGATGACAATGATGAGATGTATGAATCATCAGTAAGCTCTTGAGTAATCGATGACAGATGCCGAAGGTGAGACAGAAATGCTCCTCAAGATGCCCTTAAGAGCTTTTTCCAGTGGATACGGATTCCGGAGACGAGCACGTTCACAGTAAACAGCAGCCCTCAACTCAATCATTCTTTATCAAAGCAGGCCATCCATTCCTTTTGCTCCCAATCTTTTGTACACAGCTCTCAAACCTGTGCCACCGAAGAGGGAAGATGACAAGCCAGGAGAAAGTAATGATGTTTGTGATGAGCCTCAGTGTTGACTCAAGTCTAGCTGCTAAATCCCTTGGCTCCCACCAGCAGGCCATTACACACACTCGGTGTGGTCCACATAAGCCGGGAGAGCGGCTTTAAGGGGGCCAAGATGCTCTTATTTGAGGCTGTGGGGGTGGCCACCAGATCAATGAACCCTGTCTGCACAACTTGCACGTTTTCACCCTTTCAATTATATCTTCTTTCAACCAATTTTGCCGTGCTCACCTTTTATTATTCCACTGTTGGTTAAGCTGTCTTGTTTGATTTTTTTAAAGAATAGAAAAGCAATTTTCCTGCTTCATCTCTATCAGTTTGAATAGCATTGGGACAACCTATTAGAGGAGCACAAAAGCCAAAGTTGGGTCATGAAATTATCTTTCACTGACTGTTCGGATTCCTGTTGATTTCCTTTTAAGAGAAATATAGATTTGGCATTACCAGGACCAGAGAGGTTTTTTTGGACAGAAAATTGACAGGCAAAAAGCATAGCAGTGATACAATCATTTTGGGTGGTTTTGCATTTATGAAAAAGGTCAATATTCTTCATGTTTGGTAGGATTTTATTGAATGTTTTCTATATTTCTGATAAAATCAAATCTATCTCAGGTGAGGTATTTGAAATAAATAGTAGCTTTTGCAATGTATTACAACACACAGCTGCATGCACCTATATGTCTCCTATATCTCCTTTAAGCTCAATATATGTGTTGTTTTCACATTGCTTTTTTGCCTGGTTGCATCCAGATTGGAACACAGCAGGTTATTCCAAACATTTGATTAGAATCTATCATGCCAGCATTACCTGAAAATTCAACAGATGAAAAAACATACATGGGTATATCAACTAAAAAACACAAACCTGGGCCCTATCTACTACACTAGATTACATTAGATAGTTACATTAGATAGTTAGCTAAGCATGTTTTACTATAACCTCAACCTTTAAAGGTATACAGAGATGAAACACAAACACTGGGGCCGTTTCTCAATGTCGAGGAGGCTTGCTTGGTAGCACATGTATGCTGGGCATTTAAACAGTGATTCTGCGCCACTCGATGACGTAGTATGCTTGAAATAGTGACTCTGGAGCAGCTTTACTCGACATTGAGAAACGGCCAGTATAGTGCTTCGAGTCATGGAGCAGCCATTGTTTGTGGAGTGTTGAAGAAATTATTCCCAAAACCCGGAAATAAGTTAGCATGTAAGCACTTCCTGTTCCCTAGTCTCATAGTTAAAGGTTTTTTTAATAGATTTTTGGTTAGATTAAATACATTCTGTGGTTAATAGACGCTTAAGAGATTCTCACATTTTGTTCTACGACATAAAAACATCAGCTGGTGAATGTCTGAAGCTTTTACGCGTTTAAAAAAAAGGCAGTTGCTAGCAATAGTCCGCCTTTAGCATAGTGGGGGTCATGTGACCTGGATGCAGTCGTTCATTACATGAGCTTTTTTGTTCTGGTGATTGTTTTCAGGCTTTAAAAGTGTTAAGATGTTGAGATTACCTAAAAAAAGATTCATTTCTAGAAGTGATTCAGTTCACTTTGGTAACCCAAAAGATCATTATTTTCAAAGAAACGTTCACTAATACACAAAACTAATGTTCTAAAAGGTTCATAATCTTAGTTTTGGAACTGCCTCTGATGAATGATAACCATGAGAATAACGTTTCAAGGCCACAACAACACAAAAGGCAGCTACCTGCCTCCAGGAGACAAGCTGGTGAGGGTGGCAGTTTTACCTTCAGGGACTGCCAACAGACAGAGGCCGTCAGCCTAGAGCCCAAAAAAAACTCATCAGGCCTCTTGGTTTTAAGAGCTTAGCGGTTATTTCCTGTCAGAGAGGTGCTCAGTTGACCGTAATATGACTACATTGAGGTTGACTGAGGCTGTGCTGCGCTCAGATGTTTGGCAGGAGTTGATCCGGGGACATATTTGCAGCATTTAGTGAGTCAACATGTTGATCCTCATTTCCATATTTCACCTGGATGCTAAGCCAAGCATTAGAGTGGTCTCCCATGAACACAAAAGAAAAACAAAAAAAACTGGCCTGCGACAAAATGCTGCTTGAAATGCAAAGCAAACGGATATCTCTTTCAATTAGCTATAAACGAAAAACAGTGCATCTTTTGTGCTCAGCCGCTCGGTTTGCATTTTTTTGTCATGAAGCGAGTAATCATCGCAAGTCTCTCTTTGTCCAAAGCACTGTTGCCCCGTCTCCCTCTGTTTTCTGACAGCATTATTCAGATGAGTTGTGCATTGCAGTCTGAGTCATGTTTACTGACCAAAGCCGCAGTGTGAAATCCAGAATAATTGCTCCCCAAAACTCCCCTGGCACAGTGTTCTGGTCTACTAAAGTCAAGCAGGAAGTCAAAGTGAGGCAGACATTTCCAAAAATAAAAATGTTCTTTTTATTTTTCCTCTGACAATTTTGATGTCATTGGAAATAAATGAATACGAAAATACTCTGGAGGAACGTCTGTGAAAAAGCTAAGCCTAGGGACACCTGCTTTATATCCAGCTGCTTTCTTAGAAACGGGGGCAAAACAAACAAATATGTCAGGGGCACAGTGTCTATTTTCAACACGGTGCCTGTACAAAAAATGAAGAGCAAAGGGTGGAGATCACTGTGTGGAGGCACTGGTGACAGGCAGATAATCCCACCAAGATGGCATTGCCAGCGCTTTTCACAGCAACGGGATGGGGAGCATCATTGCCATTCAGAGCTACACACACACGACTACACACAGCGTAATCTTAAAAGCAGCCATGTTCCCTCCCTTCCCGCATGTCACTCTCAAATTGTTTCATGTTCTTTAGAGTGACTAAATAAAAACCAAAAGGCAAACAAATCCTCCAGAGACAGAGAAAACACTGGTGTCGGATACTTTGTAGTTGTGCCTGCGTGTAATACTTTCTAGTCTGGTTTCTTCAAAATGGCTTTCTATTTGAGCTTGACTCTTTTAAACTGTGGGAGGCTAAATGGAAGGAGGACGCAGCTCTAAAGGGTTTACTGCCATCTGTTGGTACTGAGGGAAACTGGTAATCAGTCAATATTGTTTATGTACTGTACGGTTTATTCATTGGTGATATGCATGCTGACTTGAACTGTATTACGCATTCTATGGAGCAAGGCCATTGTAGAGACACTTGTGGCAATGTAACAAAGGTCTTTCAGCTTCCCCTTTACCTACCCATTATACTTCTTACCACAACCACTCTTTTCACACATTCAAGGCCCGAGTAAATGCATGCATGACTGCTGCGGAACTGAATATTTTTTCTTAAGAAAATGCACACAAATGCTCATGAATTATATAATGGCTCCATTAGGGGAAAAAAGTTAAATGTGGATTTTTTTCTGTCATTGGTTGGAGAAATAAAAGTTTCCCAACAACTTGACCTGCCCGTCACGCACAATATACATTTCACTCAGAATTAGTTTAGCAGCAAGTCGGTAAAAAAGGCGGGCTGTTTCTAGGACTATGTAAAATGACTCGTCATAATGAATGTGCACGGACCTGCGTTTTCATAACATCTTGAATCACCATCTCACTCCGGTTTTTGCATGCTTGACTGCACCATAATTACCATTTAAAGTGGGATAGAAGTGGGGTGAATGAGATGGTTGTTTGCACCTCAGGTCACGCATGCTAGGTTGCCTTTCTTGATTACTTGATTAGGTGAGGCTAGAGGAGATCGGAAAATCAAACGGATGGATTTTTCTAAATTTCTACAATAACCTTTTCGTACCATTAGCCGTGTGTATACGACTTAATATTATTCAAATTTCTTCTAATTGCTGATAATATTTCTGTCATGCTCTAATTTGGTGTGAATGTGAGAATAAATCCAGCAGTAATGAAAACCATTAATTCCCCTTTATTTAAAAAGTCAAACTGTATGGTAAAGGTAAACAAAAAAATACAATGCTTGCATGGTTGTTACACAAGATGTATAAAACAAAATTGAAGTTCATATTATGGGGCATTGCAACCGTGACCATTGCTTTTAAAACATGGCACACCTCCATTTACGGGGAGACAGAATCTAAAAACTGCCAGGGAAAAGTCACATAATTGGCAGTATAATGTAGAGTGAGGTTACAAAAACGGTTTGCCTCAGAGGACTCAAATATCAGGGCTACACAGATGGACCTCTGGCTAGCAAGAGTTCCATGACCAAAGACAATAGCTGTGAAATATGCCTCCAAACTGGCTCATTTTACAGGGAACCGTCTGTGTCCAAAAAAACAAGTCCCCTTTTGTCACAGGAAAGGGGTTTTGATTAATTTAGCGAAATGCGGCACGGCTCCTGAAGGAATTCAAAGAGTATTGATTGAGACAGGAAACATTAAAAAAAAAAATGAAAACAATAATAAAGCCCTTACATTACAGTTGAACTAGATATTAGGAGGTAGGGATTTAATAAAGAAGGAAAAAACTAAATACAGACAAGACTCCTGCAATAAGTCCCTCTACTGCATCTGGTGCTATGATAATGTAAAAATACAAATCAAGATGGTAGTTTTAGCCAGAGGTCATCAGTCGGTCTCCTCTTCCTCAGACTCGGACTCTGAAGAATAAAGAAAAAAAATCAGTTAGCACGAGATTAAAACAATGACGCACAATAACCATCAACACTGATTAAAACAATGACGCACAATAACCATCAACACTGATTAAAACAATGACGCACAATAACCATCAACACTGATGTTAACCCTTAGATATGGATCAGAAAGAAGGTGCAAATAGAGTGGTGCAGGAATGAGTCCTAAATTGGAAATGGGTTGCCCGTCTTAAACCCAGAAATGAGTTAGCATTTTAGCACTACCAGCCTCCATTGTCTCAAAGACAATGTTTTTTTAAATAGGTTTTATGTTACATTCCAGAAATAAGGTCCATCTTTAATACAAGCTTACGAGATTTTCATGTTATTGGACGACAAAATTCGCCAGTAAACGCCCCACTCGTAGCTGAAGCTGGCATACAAATGGCTAAATGAGACTACTTCACGCCCTCACGCCGACCATTAGCCGCCTTTAGCTTAGTTATGTGACCGTGATGTAGTTTGTTTATAGCCAAACGCTAGTTTTTTTTCTTCTTCGAGTGATGGCATTTACGCTTCAACTTTTGTAAAGTGTTGTTACTATGTGGAGATCATGCCGTATGTCTGATCAAAATGTATGTTTGTTTGCCAAACATTTTATTATCATTTTCCAAAATCCAATGAAAATCCCATTGCTACTAGTAGATGGAACCATTGTTATGCCAACTTCCAGGTTGGATACCAGTAAAAACATTCATCGCTGCACCACTCTAACAGGGGATCGATCAGTTACATCAACCAATCTATGCAGCCCATACCCATGAATAAGGTAGCTCTAAAATTACCAATAGACAAAAAAGGTAGGAAAAATAAGACTTTGAGGTGCTTACCTTCCTCTGCGTTCTTGAGCCATTCGACAAACTTTTTCATCTGCTCAAGGAAAACGCTTTTTCCTTTAGCAGTGTGGGCATCGTTGTACCACTTCAGAATTGCCTCCTCACTCAAGACATCCGCTGTTTGAAGAAACCAAGAAGAAAAATTATAATCCATGATGCCAACAGCACAAATATTTGCCCAGGTGGTCTCCAGGCAGGATGACAACATCCATCAAGACAAACTTTTGGATCTAATCCGTAGCCATCTGGCTTCACACTATCAAACTTAACTTTTCCTACAAAAGGCGAAGATGGAAAAAAGGAGCTTACCTTTGTAGAGCAGAACCACAATTTTCTGGAAAGAGTTCATGAAGTGGATGTTGTCGTAGCAGTACTCCTGGATCTTCAGCAGGAGGGTGAGCTCGGAGAGGCCCTGGGAGGTAAACGCCTTCAACAGTGGGCTGTATTGCTGAGTAAGTAAAATGGGGAGAATACAAATTAGAAAACAAAATCTGATTTGACGAGTTCTTTCTCTTTGAGCGGGGGAAAAATGTGGTTAAGTTAGACAATTATCTTCTCTGCTAAATTGAAATCTTACAGCAGCCTAGATTGTATTAATCATTTATTTTTTGTATCAAAGTTGTCACCTTTAAGAGTTTGATGGCTTGTTCCGTGACCAGCTCCTCCTTCTTGTTCCACTCCACAGAGCTCATTACACTTGCCCAAATCAGCCCAATCATCGTCTGCTCGGAGATGTTGTTCTTCTTGATTTCCTCTCGGACGTAGAGGATGATCTGCAAGAAACGAGTCCAGAGATGGAACGCATGTTATTGGAGAAAATGTGGAAACTGCGGACAGCTTATGCTGCAAAAGACTGAAGAACGCTTGGAGGACACTTTTCATTGATCAACTGCACCCTCAGGGGTCGGTAAACAAAGTGGGACTGTTAGTGGAAAATGTAATGAGGCTTACATCTTTGAGGGGGTCGCCGCGTGACATCTGCTCCTCAAGCTCCTTCTGAAGCTCCTTGCGAGCACCAATGGACTGCTGGTTTCTGGCATGGTCCGCAAGCTCCTTCAGGCCGACGTCGGAGAAGTACTTTGAGAAGTACTCGCAACTGCGCTTGTTGGCAGGGAAAAGCTCCTGAAAAAGAAAAAGGCACATTGTCAAACATTAAGGCAAAACCTGTTTGCGGTGCAATCCTCTTTTTTGCTTAGGAAGGTTCCTACTGAAGTGGAAGGATCTAGAAGTATTTGTGCTAGCCATGATAAGTGCAGTTTGAGTTCTCTAGATGATATGAAAGGAGCATCAAGGTTCCTTTAACTTAGGATACACTGGACCATCGTTTTAAATAAGTAGTTACACAAGTTCTTGAGGCTGCAACAGACATTCACGGAAACCACTTTTTTATTCAATTCAAACCGTGGTAAAGAATTATATATTTCCAATTGTTGTCCACATTTTTAAAGCCCGGATGAAACACTTTAAGAATGCACCAGGTAATGTTTTGAGAATTTTTTTTGTTTCCTCACAGCAGACCGATCAAATATATACAATATATTTTTACAATTCGACCAATTCTGCTACTCTAATTAAAGATGCTTTGTTTATTAGAGGGCTGGATGCTACAATAGCTTGGGACATTGTCAGTCATGTGGGTTACTAATCTTATTTTCATAAAACAACTTAAGAGTGCACAGGCAGGCTGCTGATGCTAAATGCTTCTGGGAAGCTCCACCTGAGCCGTGTTAAAGAATTTGTACTAGACGTAATTCTCACCATGAGCCTGCTGTCCATGCCAACCTTTCGGAGACTGGCAGAAACGGAGTTGATGTCCTTCTCAGTAAGCCAGGATCTGAAGAGTTTCACAGCGAAGCACGCAGAAACACCTGAACAAATGCATAAAAATGGTTGTCAGCTGTTGCCGACAGACCTGCCAGGATAAAGTTAGGCCTGGGTAATGCGTCGGTAAACAACGCCGCAGGAGGCGATTAGACAGGTTTTAAGCTATACAATAATAAAAACAAGGATGCTGCCAACAAAATTAGTTTGGACCACAGGTGTAATACATTTTTTTTTTTTTTAAAGTGAAATGTTTTTAGCAATCAATCATTTCAAGTACAGGTTGCAAATATGAAGACAAATCCTTTTCATCTATCTTGAGGGTGTCGATTCATTTAGCAAAATGGCGATAATTGGGCTCCATTTTGATTTATTTAAAGCCATCCATCAGCTTTTTTTCCTTTGACTTAAAAAAAAGACAGCAGCCCCATTCTCATAATTGTTCAGATATTTATCAATCCATACTCCAAGCCTTTAACAAGTCCATATAATATTATTCATACTAATGACAAGGGATGCTCCGATCGATCGGCCACCGATCGTTATCGGTGCTCTCTATAAAGGCCGATCAGGAGAGCCGATCAGATGACGTAAAATACATGACACTTTTCTCTGTGCTCGGCAAAACAAGCTCGCCAAAATGGCTTCACCGGTCTGGCAGTATTTTTAAGGTGTCCGAAAAAGACAATAAAATAGCGTTATGCAACGTGTGTGAAGCAGAAATCCTGCAGCTCCGCACGCTGTGACGGACTGGTGAGCGGAGTAACACACACACTAAGAGTTAAACCTAACACACTTAGCTATTTTATCTACCTCTGAACAAGCTAAACTAGTTGTTTGTGGAAGTGCACAAAAAAAATGAGCCCCATTAACTGAGTTTTAAACATCACTTTAAATGGAAGATCCCCATAGCCCCCACCCACCCTATGATCGGATCGGCGATCGGTATCGGCCGATGCAATAAAAAGCTTTTTCAAGTGTAAAATGTCCAACTCAATACATATCCTTTTCCCAATTCTCAGTTTTTAAGGGGTTCCTTATCAATAATGTGTGTGTGGTCCTGTATTGAAGACAATAAAAACAATTCTAAACTCAAATATCAACAAAAGGATTGGCCTCAAATCTGCACTATAGTTTGATCAGCTGCCCTTTGTTGACACATGTTCTTTGAGGCTAGCTTGGCGTGTCAGCCTGTAAGCCAGTTTTGCATGTCTGTCTATTGAATCAAAGTGTGCATTCGTCACTGCCAACTGATTAAATCCAAATAGTATATTTATGTAGTTATGCGGTCATCATTGGAAAAGCAAAGGATAATGATAATTGTACTTGTGTTTAAGAGAAATACAGTAAGGGGAGCAGAGTTTCCGTTAGCCCGTAATTTGACCGGTAAAATATGCTGAAGACCGGCAAATCTAAATCTCTCCGGTCAAAAATAATTTCCCCTTAGCACAATACCGCATCAGTTGCGCCACTTATGTGACAGACAAGAATAGTATGTGACAGACAAGAATAGTCAATTCTAATGTCTAACATTTAATGTGGAGAAAGAGATGTCCTGTATGGGTTGATCTCTTGGTAATGCCTCTGGGTTCCGGTGGGCATGTAAACTAATGCATAATGCTGCGCTAAACTTTGCGGCCTCACCCAGTTGCATAGCGACGCTTATTGTTTAGGTGTCTTGATAAGCAGGTAGTCATATCATTAGCTAGAAGAACTAGCTAGATCTGATCGATATGGACATAAACGCGAGTGAAGTCTAATCTGACGGGAGAGAGATCAGCTGCTGCTGAGTCGACACGCAGCTATGCATAATCACATGCAGCGGATATATATATAGCACCAAATTGCAACTGAAGTAATCTATCTACGGTCACTTTTCACATTGAACATGTGCTTTTATTAAATAAACTAAACGCCTATGTTATTTATCCAATGTATGTGCTTGTTTCAGTGTCCACTGCTTTGCGTATTCACATTCTCCCTCCGCTCTGTTTCACACACACACACGGAGGCAAGGAGGAGAACAACAAATCTGCATTATTGCCCCGAACTCTGCTGTCTGCCCGTTTGTGTCCCCCTTAGTTTCAAATTTGTTTATTATTATTTTTTAACCTCAAGCCGTTATCGTCACGGAGGAGAAGGACACACACAGCCTGCCCAGGTGGACGCGCGCGAACGCGACAACGAAAGTAGCGTGCGCATTCTAAAAATAGCTCACAGATGGTGAGCAGGTACCGCGGTTTTGAACTACAGTATTGAATTTGATACTTTTTAATGTACAAATACTTTGTTACTGTACGATAATAACAATAATCCACAGCTGCTTCTCTCTGCTCCAGAGGATAACAAAAAGATATTCAAATTTTTATTTCGGGGCACCGTTGGGGGGGGTACCCGAGCAGCACCCTGCCAAGGCAGTAAACCTAGGCGAAACACTTATAGATATGTTTATTTTTACTGTCGGGTCACTCATTACTGGATCCGCGAGCTGCATGATACTGGCGGGCTGTCAGGAGGAGAGAGCGCTCCGTTTATTATTCCCGTGTTGTTATAAGTCACTGTACACTTTTGAATAATGTAGTTACTATCTACTATAATTAGTTTGTTTAATATCGAATCATATACATTTGCTTTAAAGCTCAATACATAACAAAGACTTTTGACCGGCACTTTTCTCATTTTGTCCGGAAGTTTAACTTTAACGGACATGTTGACCGGCAAAAAAATAAAATTCTAACGGAAACTTTGAAGGGGAGCACAAGAAAAAGCCCTAAAACATCTAGCCATCATAATGTACAACTTACATTTTAAGGAGAATATATTATGCTAAATTTCAGGTTCATATTTGTATGTTGTGGCTCTACTGTGACATGTTAACATACTTTAAAGGGCCCATGTCATGCTTTTCCGGTTATTACCCGTCCCCTTGTGTGTTATGAAGGTTTTTATGCATGTAAACGGTGTGCAGAGTCACAAACCCTCAAAGTACACCCTGTAGCGAGTAAAACTCTAACACAGAAAATACCTCCCCAAAAACGCCTCGTTGGAGATACGTCATTGTCCATTTGATTCTTCCATTTCTTTCCGGGTACGGCATGATGTCAAGCCGTACCCGGAACGAAATGGACCAATCCGTGGAGCCGTTACGTTAAGCCCCCGCTGATTGGTCCAAATTGACCAATCCACGGACTTCCTCACACACACACACACACATCTGTGTGCAGGGAGCAGGCAGCTCAGCTGATTTCTCCTCCCTGGCTGCAGGCTGATAACAGACAGTTGGGATCGCGGCGAAATTCTCTCTGCAGACCCATTCTCACAGAGTTTATCAACCTTTTTCTTACTCAATATCAAGCCACACTTATTGTTTTTACTTTGGCTGTGACTTTGTGTGTGCTCAGGATGAGTTTGGCTGTGTATCGCTAACAAGGAAACAACACCTCCACGGAGCTCAGCGCGATTCACAACGTCCCGACCAATCAGAGCCTTGAGCACCCTCCCTGTGCTCACAGGGAGGGTGGGGTCTGGAGCTATTGGAGCTACAACGAGCCGTTAAAGGCAGAGAGTGAAATTCAGTGAATACACGTAGTTTACAGAGATGCTGTATGAGAAACCAATGTGAGTTTGGAAAATTGCACAATATAAATCTATTCTAGTATACCTCAACAATGGAATTATGATCAGTGGAAATGGCCATGACATGGGCCCTTTAATGTTCAAAAATGTCTTTATTTCTCATACTGCCTGTGCTGGAGCACCTCTTTTCACCCCGTCTGAAACCAGAGCCCAGTCTGCTCCGATTGGTTACCTGGCCAGCTCTGTTATGATTGTTCAACTGCTTAGAGATGTGTCCGAACTCTTAATATATCACGTACAATGTGTTGGAGCGCTAGCCAAACAAGGCAGAGTGTTAAAGCGTGGATTCCAATGATATCTATCAATTGAGGTAATGTTTAGCGTTAACTAAAAATAAATGAAACATGTCTTGGCATTTACTTCTTTCCCATTATATTCAAACTTGAATTGAATGTTGGTTGTTTCATTGCTGGATTATGTTTGAACTAGATTTAGGATGAGACATACGTGTAACTTGACATAGATTTTCACTTTTAACCTCAAAATCTTTTATAACTGAATAAATCATGAAGATGTTGGTAAGAAAAGGTAAAGTAAAGGCAAAAGAGCAACCCAGAATGATATGAATCGACCCTCTACTCATCGTATTATTTAATCTCAGTCCATAAAAAAAATAAAAAAAACAATAAACAAAGCTATGCATGCCTGCAGAAAGAAGAGTATGTACCTTCTTTGACCAGGTTCTCATTGAAGAGGCTGCTGAGAATAGCTGCAGACAGATTGCTTTTGGCCAGCAGAATTCCTGTTAGCATGGCTAGCTTGTTGCGCTCAGACTCGGTGAAGCCCTTGAGAAACAGCAGCAGCTGACAAAGAGAAAAAAAAATATTTAAGAAATCCTCAAGGCTGAATTGAATCAGAAATATTATCAAACTTTTTACATTCGAGTTGGAATAACATGGTTTTAAATGGACCTAGACAGGTTGTGTTCCTGTAAAGATGCACTACCATAGACAAACCTTTTTAATCTCCTCCTCGAAACCTTTCTCCAAGTATTTGTAACGCCTGATGAGCTTGTTAAAGACCTACAGGAAGCATAAGACATATTAAAAATAAAAAAAACAATGATGAAAGAAGCAATGATAAAAGTGAAAAATTAGCAGGTAATTGATGGTATTCACCTGGGCATATGCCTGCATGGTCTCCATGTCCTCTTGTGCTTTGAAGAGGCAAAACTCTGTCCGGGTCAGGTCGTCCGCCAAGGTTCCGCCTGGGGCTAAAGAAAGAAAATAAAAGGACACTTGCTATATTCTGCCAGTATGATGCTTCATATTAATGGTCGTATGTTCACTATTTAGTATTAAAGATTTCCTGGGTACTACAAATCTCGTGCCACAAACAATTTTCATCTTTACGATTTATTACATTTAAAAAAAGAGTCCCGTTTCTTACCCAGCATTCCACCAGCCACCAGGATGTCAAACAGAGTCTCAGCATAGCGTCGGTAGTCGAGCTTGGCACCAGAGGCATCGAGGAACTTCGCGACGGCTTCCAAATCAGTGCCAGATTGGTTCAGACCTTGTACTATGCTCTCCTGAAAGTGGGTAGGGTCAAATCTCTCCTTTTCATCTGTGGAAAAAGAGACATTGAATAAAGCTGATCAAATCATTTCTACAAGACGTGTCGAAAGCCATATCTAAAGTCACATTGTATCTCCCTTGCATAAGGCATTTAAGTTAGATCTTCAAGTATATAGGGAGATTTTATACAAAAATGGCTACATAACAGTTTTTGGTACAGACACTTTGGTATAGAATACAAAGTGCCAATTTAAATATACTTTATATCTAGTCAGTGAACAGATGACTGACTTTCAGTAAATAAATTTCACATTTATGTGCATGTGATTTTAAGTAGTTAAAGTACCTATGTGTTCGATAAAATTACCACCAAAAAAAAATCCAGAACAAAGTCAAGCTGGCTATAATCATAGTGTGCATAAAAGTGTGATCCCTTAAACTTTCTCACCTCTTTTGCGGGTCTTGAAACGCTGGCCTGTTAGCGTAGGCTTCTGCTGCCTTTGATTACTCATAAAAGACACTCTAGGAGACACATAGGGAAAATAAACAAGATCAGGACATAAAATACCATTTATTTCAAATTCGATTGATCTACGGTGCATTGAAAAGAGATGCATGGCGATGCACGTGGCTGAAATTAACTAGTCCAGTTATCCCCAATGGGTGTTAACATAGTGCGACACAACATTTAAAACGTGAGGGTCGTTTTAAATGGCCGTTGATCCAAAGAGAATTGTAATGGGAACAAACAATGGGACAACATTGTCGTTTTTAAAGTGGATGTAACGATCACACATATATGCAATGAAAAACAAGCTAGCCGTTAGCCATCGTTTTTACTTCCTGGTCTGACATATTTTAAGGGCCATGTAGTGATGTTAAGTTGCTTGTCTTAAATAAAAACACCATAGTAACTCTGCATCGACAATACAGCAACACGATTCGCCGTGTGTCTACCATTGTTTAAGGTTGTGATGCGAATCGGTCAAACCACGTGGTATTTGGCGTTAACATTACACATTCCGTAAATATTGGTTTAGCATGGTCTGGAAATAAAGCGAAAACTGTGGTAATACCGAATTTAATACGTTAAAGCCACAGATGCCTGGCTTCAGACAACACCGGATACCGCTAAGCTAGGTTAGCTAACTAGAGTCGGCATGACGCAGTGCCTTAATAAGCTTAAATGTACGACCGTCAACACATTAACATCTTGTTAAGCAAAATACATACATAAACTCACCGAAATCCTCTTAATGAGCAAAAACAGACCGTGAAATAAAAGAATAATATAACTGGACTCCAATAACGTTACTATCAGTTCCAAGGAAGAGGAAATTGTGGACGTAACAGCACATGCGCATTAAAACGGAGTCTACGTGGGTCATTCCACTGGTGTGGGGGTGTGTAAAGTTCACAAACTGTAACAGAATAGATCAAATGCAGTCGTAATGAAATAACTATGACCAATTAGGTGGGAAATGAAGTAGTTAATGCGATGTGGTTGCTTTTACTCTTTTTGTATAGTCTAAAATGGAGTGTGGTAACACGTATCAGCGTAATACACCCCTCTACATTTAGAAGGGATATTATTTAAGGGTCAATGAATGGGAGACAGTTTCATCTCCCCCCAAAACTGAAAAGGGGTTTTTATGGCTGCATTTCTTCATCGACCCTCTGTTGACCCACCAAACTGACCTAAAGTTAATATTAATAAATAATGGGCCAACAAGTCGTTGCTATCTAGCATTAAGACACATGAGGGAGGTGTTGGGCTGTCGGGTGGATGGAGTAGCTGTCTACGGGATGAACGGAAACTTTAATGTTGCGTTAATATTCACCTCGTAAATCTTGGTTGTAATTCCAATAACTACATTAACATGTTTGGTAAATTCACTTATTCCTTTTCCTTACAAACATTTAAATGTTAGCCCTATAATTGATATTATGCCAAAAACTAGTGAACATACTTAAATGCCTTCGTCAGGCAATACAATGCATGACTGTATATTTTAAAAAGAACTATTCATAATAACTACACCACAAGGTATCAGTTCACTCATCCAAAGAAAAACCCATCATCTCAGTGCTTCTGTCTAAAAGTAATTTTAAAGTGTAACCTTTTATTAGAAAACGTGTTTTGATATAGCAGTTAAACAGATACACAGCAGTTGTGCAATGTAATACAGAAGCCTACAAGTCTTACATGTATGTAGGCCTACTTTAATCAAGTTGTTCATGACATTCTACTTTATACCTCTCCTCTACTACATTTTGCAAGCCAATATTTAACTTTTTACTCATTTACATTTAGACAGCCTCAGTTCCTTTACAGATTTAGATTATTAACTAATACAAAAATGTACATCGATTTACAAAGAAATATGTAGGCTACATATAAGTGTAGGTTATCATATCCAGCAGCAGTGTGTCATTCAAATTAGCTCCACTTTTACCAGCTGTGATAGACACATCAATAATCATAATCCCGTAAACCATCATCCTTTACGAGTACTTTTGTACTTTTTCTTAGGTCAGATTTTGAATTCATGACTGCTATTTATAAGAGAGAATGTTTCCAATTAATTACTGCTACTTTTACTTACAGTAAGTAGTTTACTTCTACCACTGAAGATAAATAGTGGACAAAATAAATAAATAAAATAAACACCGATATTTCCGACAGTATTTGAACGCGTCACCGCCCCACCTCCCCCCGCGCTGGAGGTGATTAGGGACGCTGGACTAGCCCAGAGACGCCGCTTCAGCCACTCCCTACGCCCGGCAGACTGCACGCTCAAGTCCATCCAGAGCTTCATTCATAGTGCTGAGATCCGGATGAGAGCCACGTTCAGCCTCATCCACCACAGCGGACCCGAGTTCCACTAAAGGCACGCCGGGAAGGGTTTCAGGAGCCACTCCACACTGGGCGAATCACTTCTGGGATCCTACTTTTGCCCGCAGAGTGGATTTAGCACGAGAGGGAGCTACTCTTGCAGAGATAAAGAGGCAAGTTTGACATCTTCTCTTACTTATCGTTTAAGTGTTGTAAAATGTAACACTACTTACTTATCGTTTGGGTCATATTCTTGACATTGTTGCAACTTTGTATTCTCCAAAGTTAACTTTGCATTGTCTTCAGACCGTCTGCTCCCCAAGACCCCAACTCATTCATTCCTCCTCACTTCGTGCAGGAGGGGGTTGGGATTTTTTGTTTATCTTTCTTTTTGTTTGTGGACGGTTTGTAATAGTTGGAGGATAACGCTAGTAAGATTAAGTGTGTCAGAGTTTAGTTTCGCAGTTTAAAACAAATCTTTTGATCTAAACCAAGGCTCATTTAAGCAATGCAAATGTAAAGTGTGGTCGCTAATTGCATACATCTGCGGGTTTAAGCACCATTTTTGTCACTCAAGAGTCAAACCCATGGAGACCCCTGACACAAGGACAGTAGCAGATGTGTCAACCATTCGAACAAAAGTTTAGTCTTATCAGATGGCAATATGATAAAGTAAGGCTGCATAACTGGAAATAATCGTATCATCACAAAAGTGAACAGAAAGCACTTTTCTAATTTTAAAGACATGTAAACTTAGACATCCATGTTGGGATCTTTACAAGTAAAACCATGTAGACCTACCCTATATGATCTGTGGATACACTTGCAGGATAAAAAAGGTCTTTAAACTGACTGAAGGTGGTTTCAACATCTTCTACGCCCCCATGGTTTTCAGAAATCTTAATGCAGCTGAATGGAATAAATTACTGCTCAGCATGAATAAAGCTATTCACCTCTGAGAAATATCCCAAAAGTTCCTAGGAGTCGACCTGCATGCTTGCTTTCTTTCTGCCGGGATCCCCTGTGGGAACTTGTAAAATCAAAGGAGGAGAGGAATGTCTTGATGGGAAGAGAGACTGTTCTAGATGTAGGAAAAAGCTACATCCCAGATCGCACTACATTATTAAACTCTGGTATTGGATGAGAATAGATGGTTGTACCAAAGGAGAAATGCTGCTGTAAAATCCCAATGGAAGGGTTTTGAATGTGTCTGCATTTTGTAATTGGAAACAGCAACTATGTTCACATGTGAGTCAAGGTCTTCAGAAACTGCTGATTGTACTCAGACTAAACACAAGTTTACTTTGACTATAGACTGAAACAGTATAGTCCAAACTTTTCCATCATTTCCACTCTAAAAATAGCAGTTAAGTATTGAGCCATAACCGATTTGAAAACATGGATTCAGTGGAAAATGTTCAAGCTTGTCATTTGATGGAAGATTGCTTCCATGCTTGGCACTGTTGTTTTTCAACTCCTAATTCCAATCGTGAACTTCAAATCCCAAGAGGATCAGACCCCCCCCCCTTTTTTTTTAAAGCACTCTTTCGTGTTCCTCAAACATGTCCCGCCTCTGTTGGCCACAGAGTCTCAGTTGGGAAGCCAGATGGGAACTTTATTGCCCGGCCGCGCTGATCAAACAAACAGTGATGTAAGATGACTATGAAAGGTACAGCGCTGTGGTAAGCCTTCTGAATTGCACAGACTCTCCTGGAAAAAAGTAACAACCGTTTAGCTCAGACTTGGAAGACGTCAGAGCGTTGGCTTCTACAGTAGCTCTCCTCAGGGTGAGCTTGTTGGCTGGTGTGCTTTAAAAAGTTACACCAAGTTTCGATTAAATGTGCCAAATGCTTATTTTTGTTGGATGCAGAGGAATAATGTGGTGTTTGTACAAGACCAAAGTCCCTCTGCCAGTGCCATGGTGATGAATAGTGTTTGCACTTGTCTGCCCGTGCAGCTTAGCGTAGTGAGGCGTGTGTCTTGTGTTGGCCCTGCATCAACAGAGGTGCCCCCCCCCCCCCCCATTTTCTGGACCATGAAAATCCTTCAGCAGCCTCTGTTAACGCAGGAAGCATCCATAGTCCTGTGAATGATTAGTAGTTGGTAGTTGCATCTCCAATTTAGTGCCTTATCACTAGGGCTGCACACATAATCAAAATGTTGTCGAAATCACAATATGGACAAGTGCAGTATCCAAATATGTACATTACAAATATTTCATGTGTGTTAATGGAGTATTGTGATGCTGCAGAGAATTTCCTGCCTACAGATGGTATTCTACAGTCTAAATTAAAACGTTTTTTTGTGGTACAGATCCTCAAAACTATGATAATTTAAAGGTTTTTTCAATGGAAATGTAATACAAAAGATAATTCCTCCATCGCAAGTAATATTGCAATTGCAATATCAGTCAAAATAATGTATTTTTGTCCCGATCGTGCAGCCCCTGCTCATCACCTTAGCTTTTTTCTTCTAGTAAATGCTACTTTTGGAGTTCAAAGGGTTCTAACTCGCATATTGTCGTTAATGTCTTCCGCATTAAACTTCCCCCTGTGCCGTATGACTCCACATTTTCCACACATTAAACTCTACGTCTTTATTCTCCCAGTGCAGCTAGAGTAATAACCCTTTACATTATAATTCAGCTCACTGTTGCTATGTTATGTCCACTACAGCTGGTTTCTCCATTCACAAACCGAGCCAGACCAAGTGTTGGACTGCCTGTTGTGCCGGAGTCGCCAAAGCTGCTAATGCACAGCAGTCTGGGGAACGTTTCAGTGTAGTCATGTACTGTAATGGAGTGAACATTTTTAATCTTGCAGGGTTCTCCTGTGTGCGTTTATGTGATAGCTGATAGGCCACTTCAGAGCTATTGTTACTCCAACAGCTTGCACCCTGAGGATCTGAAAGAGGACTGTGCACCGTACTAATTGTTTTTAGATAAAACACCATGTATCTCTCTTTTTAGAGCCTTACGAGTGGACTGTGTGCATAGATAATAGCATGCATGTTTCATATGTAATGGCATTTTACAAGATATGGTCGCACGACATTGCCATCTGCAAGTGTGAAAAAGTACAAAGGTAACTACCACCTGTTTCATGATGCAGTTGAAATCAGTGCTGAAGACCTATAACTTTCACCTGGTCTATGTATTATGTATGAATCACTCTTGTTTTTTGCAATGTGTTTATACAACAAAGGCTAATGCATATTATGGACAATTTAGCACACTCATGACTCATGACCCATTGCATATAAAGAGAAGGGGGTAAATGACAAATAATAATCTGCTCCATTTGGATGAATTCAATAAATGGTAAAGTAAAGATTAAAACTCAAGTCTTATCACATTTTCCCATCAATATTTATATATTTCTGAGAATGCAGAGCCAAAAAGTCCAAAATGGAGGAAGCTAGCTTAGTAGCTATGTTGCGTGCAATCCAGTTTAATGTATTTAACCTCCACTGTGGGAGTGTAAACTCCCCAAAAGAGCAATTGTTTGTAGACAGTTATAG